ATGATAAAAATTGAAGAGAACAGATTTGCATTCTTTTCATATAGTCCGTCAGGATCAGGATAAATACTTAGGACTTTTGTTGCTTCTATATATATATTTTGTTATATTTTTTTTTTGTTATTCTATTTGTTCTTCATATTTTTTTTTTTTTTTTTGCAATTACCAAAGAATATACATTGTATATTATCCTGCAGGACATTTTCATTATATTATACAATATTATAAGATTTAAATAATTCTACATAATTTTATACAATGCATAGCATACTTTAACTTTACGAATCAACAAAAAGGAAGAAATAGAAAGAAAAACAAAAAACAGAGAGTGGGAGAAAGTAAGAGAAAAGCAAGAGAATGAAAAAAAATCTACTAAAAACTTGTATTACAAGATAAATAAGGTTCTAGTAGCAGAAGCAGTGGATAACAATTTTTTTTTTTTTATTAGAACTTTAAAAACTCTTGACTTTCCGTTAAAGGAAGATACAAAAATAGGAAAAGAAAATGAATGTAAATATTGTTCGTCCTGACAAAAAATTAGAGCTTACAGGATAAAAAACACAAAAAAAAGAGAAGAGAGAAAGACTATATGCATAGAAAAATTTTGTATTCAAAGTATAAAATAAAATAAATAAATAAAAATATAATATGAAAAGATCTCCAGTGAAATGAGGTTAATGAGGGCAAATTACAATAGGGAAGTGCTAAAATAGACAAAAATAAATTAAAAAGAAAAAAAAAACAAATTTTTTTTTTAAGAATTTCTAAAAGTTTAATGTGAAGATGAAATAACAAATTTTAGCAATGTTATTATAGAAAGCTATTGAAACTACGATTAAAAGAATATTTAGAAATATTTTTTAATTTAGAACTGAATAAATATAATAAAAAAAATATGTTTAAAATTGAAAATGAAGTGATGCTATTCAGAATTAAGGATTTCTTAGTATATCCGTATGGAATTTTCTTAAAGTGTTTTTAAATACAAAATGCAAATTTAATTATTTCAAAAAACAGAAAACAAATTCAGAAATCCTTAAAAGAATTTGAAAAAAAAAAATGAATTAATTCTTTCTTCCTTTTGAATTCAATTTTGAAGTGATTAAATACTGAGTAAAAGGAAGAAGCAAATAACATGAAAAGTTTGATGGCAAAGGACAGGAGAAAAAGAGATTGACAGAGATGAAGACGAGAACAATAAATGAATTCCAATTATAATTGTGAAAAATTAATAAAATTTTTAAAATATTTTCAAAGATTTTTTTTACTATTTCTAATTGGATTGCTTGCACTTTAATCTTAAAATATAATAATTCTAAATGACCAATATTTTAACAATATAACTGTCGATTGGATGACAACTCCAACCACTTAGCAGTCTTTTCTAATATGTAATCTTACCAGGGGCCTTAGTATGTAACTAGATTTTCGTGAACAATTTTCGTAATTACAGATATGGAAAGGTAGTACTATACAAATTGATTGGTACTACCTTATTATTTTTCCGTAAACGAAAATTGTTTCACGGAAATCGAATTACGTAATACGATTCCAGTACTCAAGGTTTTCGGATATTAACCTTCCCAGCAAATTCTGATTACGGTGTTTATATTCTCCTAATATTTTGAAAAGTGTAAGGCAGTCTCGTCTCATCTTGAGGTAAATAAGTTTTGAAACAATCAAATGCGATGCTTATATTGAAATGTTTATTGTAAATCATTTTTATATTCAATACCATGTAGTCTAAGTACATAAATCTAAATTTTTCATCCTACAGAAAATTGTTGAGAACCTAATTTATTGTATTATAACAGTAAACAATTTCAATCGTATTAGAACAATTATTTTCCTTAAATTTCAAAATGCAGTATAATACAGAAGATTTTTTCATTAATATGAGATTCTATTTTATTTTGGACATTCGTTTAACACTTGCATTATAGACTATGATTTTAAAATTAATTATGATTTCAATTTTATTAAGTGGAAGATTACTTATTCAAAAGAGATTAAAATGAATTATAACTTAAAATTAAATATTATACGAGTATTTATATATTTTTAATTATTTGAAACTTTTGAAAAGATTAACTGCTTATAAAACTTGCCTCTAACGAGTGAACAGTGTTGAACAAAATTTTAGTATTGCAAAAAAAAAGTCGCGTCCACATACAGTACACAACTCTGAATAAAAATTTAAAAATGATAAAAAATTTAAATTTTATTAGAATATTTAACGGAAAAATGGCTAAATAAGATTGTGAAACGGATATATTTTTTTTTGGTAATTTTAAGAAAACTGTAATACATAGTCGACCAGCTTTTACTTAATGTGAAATCAAAATTTGGTTGTTGGTATAAGCTCATTTACTGATGAACAATTTCGTAGATAAACCTAACTGAATAAGAAATTCAATTTCGAGAAACTCCGTAGTTTAATTCATAAGATATTAGTCATTAGATATAAATCCCCATCTAATTGGAACATATTTTCTGAGCCCCGAAAAATTGTTAATTTATTATTATCAGCAACATTCAGAGCTGAAGAAAAAAAATTATTTGTAATAATTTTTTTTGCTTATACTGAAGTGTAAATTTTGGCATCCGAGCGGCATTCTAATAGAATGGCTTAACCAAAGACCAACAAACTCCTAGACTTCTTTAACATAGAGAAAAGCATTTGCATTTTATTCAATCTACCGCATACGTTCCTCTTATTGTATACAACATAAGTCTAGATGTTCTAAATTTCCAAGTTGCAATATTCCGTATGTGTTTTCAATTTCATACTTAACATTTTTGCAAATTGCATGTTGCTATACATAAAATCCTAAAATCCTAGTGAAAATTTTAATTGAAAATATTGCATATGCATATGTGTGTGAATAAATAACTTATTATAACAACGGCGCTTGCAATTGTCTGCCTCCAATAAAAACAAAAAAAAAACACGCTAATATAATAATCGCGAATACAAAATCATATATTTTTTTTTTGTTCGAATTTTTACATTATCACAATTTTCACGATTTTGCCTTATATAATAAAATGTATGGATATCATGTGCATATATTGGACAATGTGTTCATATTATATATATCGTGTATTTGTGAATCTGTTGATTAAAAAATAATCAATGCAAATATAGCTTTATTTACTCGGAAATTCTCTATAAATAATTCAACGCCAACAATTTGTAACAGAAACTGACTAGAATACAGAGTATTGGTTTAAAATATTTTAAAAGTGTATGCACATATTTTGCATAATATAAGTACAATAAGTATGTATATATATGTATAGTATAACATAATCTATATTCTATCCTATAATAATGAAAATTTATCGACAAAATCGATTTTTCTTTGTTTAAAATTGGACTAAAAAAAATTGTTATTTTTTTTGTTTTTGTTTTGTTTATTACAGATTAAATTCTAAGTACTTAAAAAATAATTCGCATTATCCTGATTAATATCCTTTAGGAATGATTATTGATTTTATTTTCTTCTTTTTGTTTTTATTTATGAGAGTGTTTTTGTTATAAAATACGTTATAGTGTTCTAGTTTTGGTTTTAATTTAGACGATAATTTCTTATATATTTTTTTTTCTATATATTTTATTATAGACGAGCCTTTTAATAAAAAAAAAGTATAGAAAAATTTTGAGAGAGGTAAAGAGGGTTACAAAAAATAAAAGCTAATAAAACAAGAAGAATAAAAAATAAATAAAAAAGTTAATTTTAAAAAGTTATTGAACTGAAAATAATTAAGTGAATGAAAAATGTTTATGCCTTTGGGAATAAGCTTGAAGGTAATTTTAGATTAAGATTACTAATCGACTAATCTTATTGTCTGAAGGGAACTTTTGTTTTACGTATTCTTTTGTCCTTGTTTTTAAATTATTGTGAGCATGTTGTTATTATACGCTTTTATTTATGGATTTTTTTTTCTATTTTTATTTTTTTTTGTTGAAAATTAATATGGCAAATTACAAGAAATAGAGCGTAAAAAAGCAATCAACCTATTTTTTTTTTTAGTATATAAAATCTAATTTATAAATATTATCTTTTTCGAACTTAATTTTTTTTTATGATGTTAAAATGGAAGAAGACAATGGAATATGGAAGTTTATTGAAAATAGAGCAATAAAATATTTTTGTAATAAAATTAATATACTCAATTTTCTCATATTTTCGATGAAATTGAAAAAGAATACGCTTATTAGTTGGGTCATGTCGGTCCATACGTCCTTACGTTAGTTAACAAAAATTTTGCGTTTTTTAAGATAAAGAGCCGAAATTTTATACAAAAAGAGAATTTTGGGAGTGACTTTTTTTTGTAATAGGAAATTTGTTCCTTCCTTCCCTTCTGCAAATTATGAAACTACAACTTTTTTAAAAAATTTGTTCCGTCGAAACTACAAATATTTTTATACAAATGCAGAAAAATACCGGATTACGTTCTACTATATAGTAAATTGTAGATTATTGAAGGAAGGAAGATATGAGCAAGGGAATTTCGCCACTCCGGTGCCGGTTACCGCAGCCAGCTATGGTTTATTGTAGCTCTCCCATATCCCATTTACACTACCCAGATTCCAAGTAAATACTCGAAGAGATCCTTCAGGAAGTTGGAATTTTCTACAACGTTACTGTGCATAGAACGATATGTCAACGGAAAAATGGCTATTGAAAAAAACAGTTATCATAAATCAGTTTTTCCAAATTTTTGTTTTTTCTTAAAAATTTATATTCTAATTGGTTTATAAAATTAGCAAATGGCACCTCTATGTTTTTAGTATAATTAATTTTTTTTGAGTCAAATTCCTTATAGTGTTGCAATAACAAATTTCTAATTTATTTATAAACATTTTTTTTAAAATGAATTCTTTGAATGAAATTTTTTTTAAAAATCTTTTATAAATTACTAAAAAAAACTAAATTTAATATGATTAAATTCGGTACAAGATAATTACTTAACTTTATCAACAATTATTAATAAAACTATTCCATTTTTTTAATTAATTCTTCGGCTTTTTCATAAACTTCATCAATTGAACCAACCATATAAAAAGCAGTTTCAGGTATATCGTCTAATTCTCCATTTATAATTTTTTTAAATCCAATTATTGTTTCTTCAAGTGGTACCAATTTCCCTGCATATCCAGTAAAAATTTCTGCTACTGAAAATGGTTGCGATAAAAATCGTTGTACTTTACGTGCTCTTGCTACCGTTAACTTATCATCTTCACTTAATTCATCCATACCTAAAATAGCAATAATATCTTGCAATGATTTATATTGTTGAAGTATACGTTGAACACCATTTGCCACGTCATAATGTTCTTGACCAACTATTGAAGCATTTAATATTCTCGATGTAGAATCAAGAGGATCTACAGCTGGATAAATACCTAATTCAGCTATAGATCTACTTAAAACTGTTGTTGCATCTAAATGGGCAAATGTTGATACAGGTGCAGGATCTGTCAAATCATCAGCTGGTACGTATACTGCTTGAACAGATGTAATAGATCCTCTAGAAGTTGTAGCTATTCTTTCTTGCATTTGCCCCATATCAGTAGCTAATGTTGGTTGATAACCAACAGCTGAAGGTATTCTGCCTAATAATGCAGAAATTTCTGAGCCAGCTTGGGTGAATCGAAAAATATTATCGATAAAAAGTAAAACATCTTGACCTTCAATATCTCGAAAAAATTCAGCAACTGCTAAACCAGTTAAGACTACTCGAGATCTTGCACCTGGTGGTTCATTCATTTGTCCATAAACTAATGAAACCTTTGAACTATCGTCCGTTGTAGAAATTACACCTGATTCTATCATTTCGTGATATAAATCATGACCTTCCCTTGTCCTTTCACCCGCTCCAACAAACACCGAGAATCCACCATGACCTTTTGCTACATTATTAATTAATTCCATTATTAATACAGTTTTTCCAACTCCAGCTCCTCCAAATAATCCAATTTTTCCACCTTTCATATATGGAGCCACTAAATCAATTACTTTTATACCAGTTGTTAGCATGACAGTTTTAACATTCATTTCCGTTAAACTTGGAGCATCATTATATATAAAAGAATGGTATTTGGAATGAATTGGACCACGATCATCGATAGGCTCTCCAATAACATTCATTATACGCCCAAGTGTCGCTGTTCCAACTGGTATACGAATTGGATATCCGGTATCTATAACATTCATGCCACGTACTAATCCTTCAGTTCCATCCATTGCAATACAACGCACAATATTATTTCCAACATGTTGATGTACTTCAAGTACCAAACGTTCCCCATTTCGATTAATTTCCAAAGCGTTCAATATATTTGGTAAATTATTTTCTTCAAATTTAACATCAACAACAGGTCCAATGACTGCAATAACTTTACCACTTTTACATACATTTCCTATGCCATCTAATTCACACTCATCATTTGTTTCTTTCTCAAAACATGGGCATTCATCTGATTCTGCCTTAGTTGGAAAAGGCGAACTCATGGTACGCCAATTATTATTTACAAAGAGAGGCTTTTGCTTTATCAATAATTTTGATATGCTTCGTAAAGTTGGAAACATTTTTAAATAAGTTTGTATTTTCAAATATCAATGTGAAATAGTTTTAATAAATTGTTAAAATAAAAAATTATTTTATATTTCTTTCAGATTTTTTGACAAATAAATCAAAGGAAATATTTAAAAAATTTTTTTTTTTGTTGCAAATTGAAAAGTAAAAAAATTCTATTGTTTTTTTAAATTAACTCAAATATTTTTTAAACGAATGTAGATCTATAATAGGGATATTGCATATCTCAAAGTCCATGAACTTACTTTAAACTTAATGCCTTCATTACAATGACCTATTTGTGAAATTTTGTTTCTGAAATAAAATAATTTTATTACAGAGCTAGGCATGATATGTAGACAGGCAAAATCTTAAATTTCCGCAGCATGTGTAGAAATTTTTTTAAAATTTACTGAAATTAATTGAACAAGAATATTTTATTGAACAGACAACAAATTTTTTCATTCCATTTATTTTATAACATTGCATATTCAATAATCCATTAAAATAAGGACGAAGGCAATAATTCAAATTATTTAATACTTCATTATTCATAAATTATCCAAGTTTCAAGTAAAAACAAGCCATAAAATTATGGTAATTTATTAAAAATGATTTATTTTTAATGCTAATAACTTATTAAATTATAACTATTATTCAATATTATCTCAGTTTATCAGTCAATAAGTCAATTCGGTTTTTGTTCGGTTCCCTTTGACAAACAGGAAAGGGAAGAACATTAAAAAAGAAAGAAAGGATCAACAATAAGAACAGACTAACAAAAAAACCAAACTAAGAATTTTTGAAAATTTTTTTTTCTTTTACGAAAATAAACAGATAAATAAAATTTCACAAAATTTAAAAGCTTTTTAAATAAAATTGAACAAATTTGTACAACATTAATCGTTAATATTCAATTTAAAATAAAAAATTAAAAAAAAAATTATAACAAAGGACAAAATATTAAAATAAAATGCGTAAAACCCATAATTTTTACGATAACTCAAATATAGGCGTTTAACAGCGTAAAAAGAAAAAGCAAGACAATCTCCAAAAGGAAAAACAACAAATTAAATGGGCACCGAAAATCTCAATATTTCAACACAGAAATAAATATTAAAACAATAAAATAAAGAAAAAATAATAAGGGAAACTTAATTTAAATATTTTCAAAGAATTTATCTTAAGTCATTTGTTATTAAAAATATTATACAAATAACAACAAAACGAAAAAAAAATAAACCTTGAAAAAATACCCTTACAAAAAAAAAGAGATCAGTATTTTATTGTTCATCTCTTTTTTGAGTTTCTCATTTTTATATTTTCGGTTTTGACACGCAAATTTCATATTATGTAATAATTGGCTGGCAATATTGCAATAATCAAAGCTGTACAAAATAAAATTCTTGAATTTTTTCCTTTGACTGATGAAACGATGATCATCGTCTTTTAAATATTTAAATGACCGTACAACATTCTTAATTTGTAAACAGAAATTTAAACTAGATGAGAAACAAAATGTAAACCAAAGCTCATCTAAAAACAGCTTACTCATAATGCCATTTATTAAAAATTTAAGACAAAAGATGCGACAATGTTTTGACTCAAATAGACCTTTAAACGCATTCAAAGAACGGAAAAAGAAAATTTTATTTCTTACAGGTTAGGAAGACAAATTAGGCACATGTATTTAAAATTGAAATGTCATTGAACTTTCAGCACGATCTTAATGAATCTAGTCATAAATTGACACTTGGAACAAAAATTTTTCATTCATGAATTTCAAAGAATGGCTATGTTTCAACAATACTTAAAATTAGAATACAAAAAATAAGGTTTACCTGTTGCTTTTTTAATGCAACGTACAATTTTTTACTTTTTCTATTCCAAAATGGTTTTTCTTCAACATTTTCTTATTATTAATATTAATTCATGCATTTTTATTTATACAAATAAAATAAAATGTACGTAATTTAGAGGCAGTCTAACAAGGTTATATAAGATTTTCTTATTATATGGGATCGTCTTTATTGCTTTTCCCCTACAAATACAATAGGTACAAACATATAGATGTGTTGGAATTTTACAACTAATTCAAATGTTCGTTTTTTATAAATGAGAGTTACTCTTTTAACCACACACGCATATACACACAATTATTCTTATGGTTAAAGAAAAGAAAAGTAAAAGAAAAACAAATTACTCTTTCCTTATTCACATAATAAGAAAAACGAAAAAGAGAAAGAGAAAAAATTCTTTTTTCAATAATCAAGAAGAATGAGAAAGAGGCAAAACAACTAAAACAAAAAAAAACAATAAGTAAAAATTTTTTTTTTCTTACAAAACTTTTTTAAATTAAAGCGAGAGTTTTGTAATTCATTTTTTATTTTTCATTATCTGAAAAATTGGAAGACTTGGATAATCTTAGTAAAGCAGTGGAAATTTTCTAGCAGCTGCCTTTCTTTGCCGTTTTTCTCAAGCAAATCAAAGAAATAATAAAAAGAAACACACACAAAACAAAAACAACAAGAACAAATAAAGAAAATGGGAAATGATTTTAATTTTATGAACGAGAAAAATAAGTCCTTCCGAATGGAAAACTTTAAAACGATTCTCTTCATCTCTTCACTATATTTTATATTGCTTTCTATTAAATATTTAAGTATAGGTATACTTAATGCCATAATATACCTGCCTGAAATCTCGTTTCACTTCTCTTTGGCCGTCTCCAATTTAATTCGAAATTTTTTTTTTATTCTAAAAGTTTTTATAATAAAATTAATGTCTGCTTGATGGAAAGGAAAAAATTTCCGAATAAAACAGAAATTTTTTTTAATATTTTTCTTTTGTTTTTTGTTTCTACTTTAGCATTGCTAAAGTATAAGTATAAAGATTTATAAAAAAATATATGCAATATTTATACATACATATACTCGTATACAGAATATTTTATATTGATATCTATATATGTTTGTATGTATTTGTAAGTGTTAAAAGTTTCTACATTAAAAATATTTACACATTTAAACCAAAATAAGTTTATCATCAGAATGAAATTTTATGAATTGGAATACCAAGAGTAGAAAGTGAGACCCAAGGAAGATGATAAATGCGAGTGAGCAATTTAATGATAAACATTATTTTCTTTCGTAGGAACTTTAATTTGAAAATTTTGTACATATATTTTATATTAAGAAAATATATCATAAATAGAAAATTGATATTGTTATACGAATTCACATCAAAATTTCTGAAGCTCTTCCTCTCCTAGTCACTGAACAGAACAAATTGTTGTTGAAATTCAAAACAAACTCCTTCCATTTCGATGCCCATTTTCGTGTTGAATTTCATTTAAATGCCGAACACATCTTACACATTTTCAATAAAAATCTTGTAAACTGATCTACGCCAAGTTTAAAACATCTTATAATGTTCACATTTCTTTTTGAATTAAAAAAAAAAAACAAGAAAAGTGAGCATGAAACAAACTAAAAATAAAAATTCTTAGCATTTTGAGTTCCTTATCATTTTTTCATGAAGATTTAGATCAAAACTCCAGATTGAAGCCTTTGAATCTTTTGACATACTTTGATAAAATTCGCGTTTGACAGTTCTGACTGCGAAAGATGTTGTTAGTTAAAACTGCACTGCAATATATAACACTAAAGGAGCGCCCAAAAAAAACTTTGTTGTAATGATAATCCCAATAATATCTCTCTACACTCTGCCCTCAATAATGCGTTCTATACTAATTGAGGTTGTGAATATACAAAAAAAAGCAGAAAATTTTTTTATGTTCTTGATTTGACAGAAGATCTATGCAATACAAAAAAGTGCTCCTATTGCTTTGTTAGAACCATAAACGCGAATTCAACCTTTGGCATAGTTAATGAATTGTTAATGAATAAATTACATTGTTTGTAAGCAATTCGTGAAACACAAGAATTCCTAAAATTTCTTCAGAAAAGAAAAATCTTGTTTCACATCTAATTACTAAAGATTATCCTTGTATCATAATTTCGACTAAAAAATCATAAATTTATATTATAAATTACGCGATTTTAGAATTGAAAGTTTTTTGTGACACCATACTCTAGGCACCATATTTTTCTAATCTAACTTTGTAGTCTAATTTTTCTGGGTTTCACTTTTCTTTTGTAATTTTTACATTACTTACATAATTATATTCTTGTAAAAATAATACAAATATAGGAAAAAAAATAATTGTATGAAAGGAAGAGAAATCCTATGACGTTTGAAGAAATTGATTTGAAAACTAAAACCTGCAATATGTGTAAAAAAGGGACAGCATATCTAAAGGGTGTGAAAAATTTAAGGATTATTAAGCACATAATAAGATTATCCTTTTGGAGACATTTTTTTTTATCAAATCCCTAATACTTAACATACAAAGTTCTACAAAAAAAAAAATTAAAGGACCATTTTCGATATAGCCACATATAAAAAATAATAGAGGAAGAAAAATTGTAGTATTTGTGGTCGAAAATCGTTTTATTGGCTTTTTGGTATGTTCCATTCATTTTTAGAATCATTTGTAGTTTTTGTGTATATAGGTATTTTGTATATAAGGTCCTTATACAATTTTAATATAAGGGAAATTGAATTTAACAAATATAAAAAAAAAAAAGAAAATATTATAAAAAGTAAGAATAAGTAGATAATTTTCGATAAAACAATGAGAAAAAAAAAGGTTTTCGAAAAGTTTTTGGAAATTCACTTTAAAAAAAGGAATTTTTAAGTTATTTTTTTCAATTCATTTATTTTTCTATATTCTGTTTTTTTTTTCTATAATTTTGTATTTAAAAGTTTTTTTACTTTAAAGAAAAAGCCTACACATAGGTTTTCAAGCCCATTTAACTAACCAGATATTAAATTGAAGAAGATTTTCTCGCTATAACAGAATGACTTCCTTTTTGTTTTTGTATATCGGTATTCAATTGTATATATATATATATATAGATATATTTAACTGTATATAGATATTGGAATATGT